TAATTAGTTGAACAATTTATTTACACATTTCAATGAAAATAGTCTAATGTTTATATGTTTTTATTTAAGGTTGTTGTACGATAAAAAAATGCGCGAGACTGTATTGGCAAGACGCTTCCATTTCTTGTCTGCCCATATTGTCAGCGGAGCGACAATTGTCAGGGAACCTGGTTCAGTTAGGGAGTACTTAGTGAATCGATACACGGCCTACGTCGGCAACCCAGATAGCTTGTTTATTTTGCCGTATAACACTGTTCCAGTGGGGTGAGTTTTTCATTTATTCTAATATATCTTTGTTTATTTTGCGTAGAAACTTTTCTTCTAAACTGTTGCTTAAATTTTTAGAAAACACTGGTTGTTGTTGGCTATCGATCCGATTAAAGAAGTTGTGTACTTTCTGAATTCGGTAGACGGGGAATGGACTAACTATCCCGCTATGAAGGAAACTGTTGATCAGTAAGTGAGATCGTTCTAACTATTCGTGTATATTTATATATTTAATTATTTCTGTGAGATTGATCTAAATATATGTTTTTATTTTCTTAGATCAATACAAATATTTCGTAGTCAAAGGGACGCACAGGTACCCCGGAGTAAATCATCAAATATTACTTGGATCAAAGTGCAGGTACAAAATTAGTTGCTTATAATAATAATGTTACTTGATAAAATTACACGACAACTATAAAATATATTCCATTTTTCTATGCAGTGTCCGTTACAGAATAACGATGTAGATTGCGGATACTTTTGCTTGAGGTTTATGAAAGAAATCCTTCATAAAAATCAAGTAGAGATTCCAAGCACGGTATGGATTTATAACTTAGAATAATTTTGTATGATTTCTACATTTAATAACATCATGCATATACTGAAGTAATAATTTCTTATGTAGTACTTTGATGACCTCTATACTATGTCGTACACGAAAGTTCAAGTGGAAGAAGTCAAAGAGGAAATATGTCAATTTTATGTTGAAAACAGATTATTCTGATGGGTATGAATAAAATATTATTGTACGTGTTAGTTTGATTGTGTTGGAGCCTTTAATATTGTTTGTTTAATTTACCGTGTTGTTCATATTCATACTTTGCAGGATGACGACCGTGTCGGTGGAGCATTATTTTCGATGTAATTATATATGATTTAGTTACATATGTATATATATATGGTTACAAATTAACACGATACTTTGTATGTGATTTAGTTATGGTTACAAATGTATATAAGGATTGAATTATGGTTACAAATGTATATATACTTTGTATGTGATTTAGTTACATATGTATATAAGGATTTAGTTATGGTTACAAATGTATTATATGGTATACCGGTTTCTGTTAATATAATACCGGTTTCTGTGAATATTATAAGGATTGAATTACAGGTTAAATTATTGGACCAAAAAAAAATTACAGGCCGCACAGGGAACCTCAAATTATAGGTTTCACTTTAAAAAATTTGTATGAGCTACGAAAGAGCTTTTGGCTAAAAAGCGCTTTCGTAGGCAGGATAAATAAAAAAAAAATTAAATAGAAACCCCCTACCAAAGCGCTTTTTATGGAAAAAGCGTTGTGAAAGACCCCCCTATCAAAGCGCTTTTTCCATAAAGCGCTGTAAAAACCATGATAAATAAAAAAAAAAATTAAATAGAAACCCCCTATCAAAGCGCTTTTTATAGAAAAAGCGCTGTGAAAGACCCCCCTATCAAAGCGCTTTTTCCATAAAGCGCTGTAAAAGCCATGATAAATAAAAAAAATAAAATTAAATAGAAACCCCCTATCAAAGCGCTTTTTATGGAAAAAGCGCTGGGAAAGACCCCCCTATCAAAGCGCTTTTTCCATAAAAAGCGCTGTAAAAGGCCTGATAAATAAAAAAAAAAATTTAAATAGCACACCTATCAAAGCGCTTTTCAAAAAGCGCTGGGAAAGACCCCCCTATCAAAGCGCTTTTTAAGGAAAAAGCGCTGTGATAGGTCCACCTACGACAGCGCTTTTGGCCAGAAAAAAGCGCTTTCGTAGCCTACGCCAGCGCTGGCTACGGCAGCGCTTTTAAGCGCTTTTAAAGGGCAAAAAAAAGCACTGTGAAAGCCCATTTTCGTAGTAGTGATGATGTCAACTTTTGCGATACTCTCGATAGTCTTCAAGACAGAAGGAGTCCCAACTATTTCAGCGGCTATTCAATGATACATGTTGGCATTAGCCAGTTTAATTAATCAAAGACCCTTATAGGCCATTATACCAGCTCTATGATGGTCACCGGGAAAGACCCAGGGTATAGCGTCAAACTGCCCCATACACTCCAAGTGATGAGCAATTTTAGCATCGTTAGGTTCCTAACCAGTCACCCCCTGGTATGTTTCAACGAAGTCACTGGCACTTTCCCTCCTTCGACGGGAAGCTTCTATTTCTGCCTCAGCCAAAACTGGAGGAGGCATCGATTTCACGACAAGGATTTCGCACTTATCAAACTTTGCTAAAAAAAGATCTCTAAAGAATTCCTTGAAGGAGTCTCATGTGAAAGAGATTCTTCAAACTACCCTTCCACTTCTAAATCGGTGATTAAAGGGATAATATATGGTTTAAAATCCTCGTTGACAAGGAAAAGAGAATGTGATTCAGACTTCAATCCTCTTCTCGAAGAAAAAGAAGAAACGCCACCCTCTAAAATAATAAGGTTATTATTCATCGTAACGAAATCATAGTCAAATGCTACAATGAAAAAGCTGAAAGGAAGAAAGGTACCTCGAAATGCAAAGTTGTATATGATAAAGCAGGGAGAGACATTTTGTGGGACAATTTGTTAACTGAGATTTTCGACAGGCCTCAAATCTCAAGATAGAAAAAAGGGAAAATGAAGAAACTTTTAGTGAAGATCTTGGTGATGTTTAGGAGCATGGTCGACATACATGCTGACAACATTTCAATAAGAAGATGGTGAATTAAGATGTCGAAATCTATCTTAGAGAAAGAGTTATGGACTTAGTAATTTTTCGAAGCAGCAAGTGTAGACATTTCAACCAAGGCAGTTGAGATGTACGGCGTGGTTGAATAACCACTTTTTACCCTTTCCGTATCAAAAGGACGTGTGGAAGCAGTTTTCGAAGTAAAAGACTTGTAATGGAGAATGTGGTATTCAATGGAGAAAAACTCGTCTTTAGCAGTTATTTAGATTTCAGTATAAATAGTAGTTTTAATAATATAATTAAGGGTGTCAAATTTACTATAAAACTCATAAAAACTCAGAGTACTAAGAGAAGAGAGAAATGAGTTCCAAGAGTGCAATGTACGTTTGATCACCAGTTTATATTTATGCAAAGCTTTACTTTTGAATTTACATTCATTTTTCGTGCTTTTCATTGTCGAACTCTTTACTTTCTCAGTCAAGTTTTACTTTAACTTATTCTTACTTTCGTAATGTGATTTTGCCTACTGTCGAAATCATTCATACTCTCACCATTTACACATTATTTGGAAAATTTCACGCATGTTGTTCTGAGACTCCCTAGTCGGTCTTACAGGTAACCTTTAATAAAAGACTAGCGGTGTTTATCAAAATTTTAGGATAAACATAGGCAAAGGCGATCGAACGTATCAGATTGAAAGTCACACGTCAAAAGAAAAACGACAAAACACTTCAATGATAAGACTACATTAAATGCTCACGTTCCACATTATTCTTTGACAAAACCAAAGTAGTACATGTCAGTCGACACTTGTGCAACTATTCTCAAGGGTCGGTCAAAACTACTAAAGACTCTACCGACATCCAAAGTGCCCGACAAGTCTTAGGATAAATTATTTCATACCGGTCAAATACCTAAGATTCAACGCCCCACGCTAAGTGAAGGCCCTATAACGCGAGGCCCGCTCGTTCAACCTGCTCCACCAAGCCCAAGGTATAAATACCTCCACAAAGGGTTCTCAGGTACATAATTTATAATTTCCACTTTCATTACGGTTATCTAAAACCTTAATCTGACTTTAGCGTTGGAGTGTTAACCATGCAGTTATCCCCCTTCTGAACCAACATATCAGAGATTAACAACATCTATTCAAGATCGATACAAATCAATTATGTTGAATCAAGAACAACATTTCCAATACAAGAAGCACCGTGATCGCAACCTTAAATCCATGACATCGCATCACAAAATCACCTACGAAGCTTCCTTCTGCCGTAATTTCTGCAATATTCTCTATTTTTAATTCAGCAATGAAACAAAACATATTTTAAATAAAAAATTTAAATTATCTTAACAAATATTAAATATTAACTTTTGCTTATAAATTGTGAAGTATATAAAAAAATTGTATATTATTTTTAAATCGAAATATTTTGAGTTTGTGTTTTTCTTATAACTATTTAGGAGTATATAAATTCAACAATGAAAAAAAACACAAAAAGTGACATTAATCACTCACCAAGCCAAAGTTAGGAGTAGCTGAGTCGGGTCAAATGATCGGGTAATTAATCAACCCGTTGAGTAAGTCCACCCAATTCAAATTGCGCGGCAACCCAACATTGTAGGAGAAGAACAACACTTGTCCTCCAAACAAACCCGAAGAAACAGAGCAAGAATCTATTCACACACAAAAAACTTAAAAAACAAAATCTATCTATGTCTCTCTTTTTCCTAAAATTAAAAAAACCAAACAAAACACAGAAATTATAGACCTCGTTAAGATTTTGCAAAAACCAACAATTTTTTTTCTTCTTTTTTTCCTTTCTGTTCAATTCAAACACGAAGAACAAACAAACTCTGTTTCTATAGCCTTTCATCGAGCTGGCAATTCTGTTCTGTTCACGGCAGAACTTGCGCAGTTCGAACATTATTCCAATGTCGGAACCAAAAACATCTTTGATCATTATTGTTCTTTCTCAAAACCCAGTTCTATTGATTTTCTTTACTTAACAAAAAAAAAAAATTAATAATCACTTTCACTTTCTTTCTCATAATTTTCTCAATTTTCTCGCAAACCATTGCGAGAAAAACTGATATGGCTCAAAAACACCACAAAAACAAAAAAAAACCTCCATCAATTTCAACTCTCAGTGATACCGAGAATCAATTAAACAAGTTAAATCATGTTAATGATAAAGATTCAGCTCCGCCGCCCGAACCCGATCCTCCAAAAATTTCACCGAAAAACTCCACCGCGGATTCCACACCGCCGCAGCCTCGGCCGAAGTCACCTTTCCCGCCAAAAGTTTTACCGCCATTAGAATCACCTTCAGAACCACCACCAGAACCACCACCAGAACCACCACCTCCAGAACCTTCACCACCACCTCCAGAACCTTCACCGCCACCTCCAGAACCTTCACCTCCACCTCCAGAACCTTCTCCGCCACCTCCATCACAATCCCCACCGCCACCACAATTATCACCTCCGCCGGTGCACAATGCAAGTTCTTCATCTCCTCCTCGTTTATCACATAAACCACCACCACCACCTCCGTCGCCTCCTGAGAGGCCTTCTTCATCATCTTCTTCATCTTCTCCGCCGTCTAATGATTCGCCACATAAAGCTATGCATGAAAAACCAAGAGACTCTCATTCGCATGTATCCTCGCCCGTCGAAATAGTTGCTTATACCCTTACCGGAGTTCTGGTTGTCGCCTTAGTTGTCTTCGCCGTTTTTTTCACTTTTAGGAAGAAGAAAACGAAAGGAGATGCATATGGTGGACCCTTTATGCCACCTCCTGGTACTAACTTTCAGGTTAAATCAGGTAAATTCTTTTTCTCCATACATTTGAATTTCACAATCATATTACGACAAAATACCGATAAATGCCGCTGTTGTTGGTGTAATTATCATTGTGGAGATCTTTGAAATGTCTAATGATATTGGCGATCAGGTGCTGATGGACTTTACTATGTACAGCAACCTTCCATTAGAAATAACTACGTCGCGACCGCTGGAGCAAACAGCAAGAAACATATAAGACGAGCTTCCGTGGAATCTGTACAGCCCCTAAGTGCACAAATAGTTTTTAGTTATGACATGGTAAAAGAAATAACCAATGCATTTTCTAGTCAGAATGTGATAGGGGAAGGAGGATTTGGGTGTGTTTACAAGGGTAAGCTGCTGGATGGAAAAGAAGTGGCGGTCAAGCAGCTTAAGGTTGGTAGTGGGCAAGGAGATAGGGAGTTTAGGGCCGAAGTGGAGATCATTAGCCGTGTACATCATCGACATTTGGTATCGTTGGTTGGTTATTGCATTTCTGAGCAACAAAGAGTACTTATATATGAGTTTGTTCCTAATGGAAATCTTCATCATCACTTGCATGGTAATGTGAGTTTCCCTTTATTTTCCTTACAAATATTAAGAAAATAGTTTCTACTTGTTGGAACACGCATTCATTACTCTAACAATTCTCATCTTACAAATCAATTTTATGAGTCTGAGTTAGTCCTCGAATCAAAATTCTATGAATATATATTTTCCACATATGTGGTTTAGTGCTTGATATGCATTATATTGCAGGAAGTGGAATGCCAGTGTTGGATTGGGCCAAAAGGGTGAAGATAGCTATTGGTGCTGCAAAGGGTCTGGCGTATCTGCACGAGGACTGTAAGTATATCGTGCAATTTTATTTTTGGATCACTTATTCTTGTAGTTGAATACATATATGTTTTTCAAAATTTGTGACAGGGGAATAATTTCACGAATACATGTGTGTTTTTCGATGAATTTTCGATAGGCTTGCATTTTTTATGAATAACTAAAGTATTTTATGTATCTCTAGGCAGCCAAAAGATTATTCACAGAGATATTAAATCACCCAACATACTTCTGGATGATGCTTTTGAGGCACAGGTTGCAGACTTTGGGCTTGCAAGGCTAACAGATGCTGCCAATACCCATGTATCAACTAGGGTTATGGGTACCTTTGGGTAAGATTCTATGGCTCTTAACTTAAACAATATACACTAATGTATATAGTCCTTTAAAGGGGTGTACCTTAAAAAACAAATTGAACTGGAAATTTTAACTATGAAATTTTAACAATCTCAATGTTTACTTTTCAAATGGGAAATACATTTCCAGTTTGAAAAAGGAAATATATTTTTCAACAGAGTTAATCCAAATGTTTTCACCAACATATTGGTTATGGTAGAATACAAGTAACCAAGATTTTGATAGAGATATGTGTCACAGTAGTGATCCTTGATATTACAAAGAATCTCAGTGAAATGTGACAAATGCAACCTTAATTACAGTCATGGAGATATCATGCAGTTGGAGAGAGACACCAATAGCCTTTGTGTGATGGAAAGTACCCTAAATATAGACACTCATGAAATCAGAAATCTGGTTTATGGTTGTTATAAGGTCTTGATAGAGGGAAACAAGCACAACAAAAACCTTTAAGAAATTTATTGTCAGGTGGCGGATTAAACAGGACATAGTATGGTACTTTGAAATTAAGAGGTGCAGTAGGAAGTCTATTAATGAGATAAACTGAAGTAAGGAAGACCTAGTCCCAATATGAAGGAGGGATAAAGGCTTGTCTGAGGAGGGTGAGGCCTAATTCCACAACGTGTTTGTGTTTCCTTTCCACAAAACCATTTTGGTGGCATGTGTGAGGACAAATGAGTGTGTGTGTGTGTGTGTGTGTGTGTGACACCTAGTTCACTTAGGAATTAAGTGGATGTTTTAAACTCTCCTCCCCAGTCAGCTTGTATGGACTTAAGTGAATGACGAAATTGTAGTTCAGCCATAGACTTAAACTGTTTGAATATGAAGAAGACATATGACTTAGACTTAAGAAAATAGATCCAAGTAAACCTGGAATAGGCATCAACAAATGTTATATAATAGTCATAGCCAAGAGTAGAGGGATTGGGTGATGGTCCCCACAAGTCACTAAAAACTTACTCTAAAGGATGAGTGTAATTGGTGTGTGAAGATTGTGCATGTAATCTATGAACCTAACCAATACAACAAGCAGCACAAAAGGTAGAAATATCTTTATTGATTAAAGAGGTATTACATTGTTGAGGATAATTTTCATAGGATGAGTGTTGGGATGGCCTAATCATTGGTTCCATAGGTAGTGACTACTATCTGTTATACAAGGTGTATAATTAGTTACCAAAGCAATAGGTGTAACAGGTGTAATACTGGGAGTAGAAAACTTAGAAGAGTTGAGTGATAGCGCAGGAATTCATAAAGACCATTAGGACCTACACAACCTTGAAGAAGAATTTCCTTGGTTCTCTGGAATTTAACAAGACATTTATTAACATTAAATAGAAAATAGACATTGTTATCTTTAGAAAATTTACCGACACTAATGATATTTTTGGTGATCGAGGGAACATGGAGGAGATTGTGAAGTGTGAGTGACATGTGAGGATGTGTAGGGGAGGGGAAGGTGCTTGAACCAGAAGATTTAATATGCAAAACTTGGCCATTTCATATGTAAATCTGATCATCTCTTTCAAAAGGAGTGAAGTGTTGAGGGTTGCTTGAGTCCCGGTTACATGGAAAGAGGCCTAGAGTCAGGATACCAGATACTTGTAGATGCAGGTGTGATGTTGGTCTTTAAGGCACTAGGAGGATTGCCAAATGTAGAGGTTGGGCGAGCATGAGGTTGAGGTCTTACCCTAATATTGGGAGGTTGAAATGAAAAGGCATGAAAGAACCTCCATAAGGTGCATGCCTATAACCATATGCTTGACCAAAGGAAGAACCATTGTAAGGAGAGCTATATTGTAGTTGGAATTGTTGATTGACCGCCAACACGAGGTATTAGTTTAACCAAACTTAGAGCTAACTTGAGAATGATTATTGAAGTTTCATCCTCCTCTTTCTCTTCAACCACGACCACCACGTGAGTTACAGCCTCCTCTAAAGGAATTGTACTCAGGTTCATTTGACTAAGATGGATTGGATTCACGAGAAGTAGGGGACAAATCAGTAATCACTAGAAATTTGTTTCTTGAATTTATCCAAACAAGCAAGATGAAGAAGAACTTCAACCTCATCAAGATCCATTACATCAAATTTGCTTTCGATAACCGAAACACAAGAGAAAATTCAGAAGCAAACCTTCCAAGATGACATCTATATGGTGACTGTGAGGAATTGGATCTCCAATGGAGGCAAGAGCATCAACAGTTTTTCGATTGCAAAGAAGGTAATCACGAACCGTGGAATTAGCAAGTGTATTGGATCGAGGTTCAACACGGAGATATCTCGCCGTAGCTCAGGCTGGTTTGCGAAAATAAAGAAAAGAGGCAATCCTAAAGTTCATGAGCATGTGTACTGCCAAGGACACAAGTGAGAATTTCACTTGAAAGTGTCGATTGAGGTTAGGAAAGAAACATTTAATCAAGTGTGCACCAAGATATGTGCTCAAGATTGATTTTCGCAGCACATCAATCCTCATCAGTGAGGAATTTGACAGGAATTCTCGGAGAAGATAGAAATGCTGCTAGATTATGTGTGTTTACATCGGGTTAAACTTGTTGACGCCACAGATGAAAACTTTCTTCAATTAACGAATACTATGGTGGTAGAGGAGTGAGTTCAGCCATGGATTGTAACTAGCAATCCGATACCATATTAAAAACTCAACTAAGTGTAATATGGATTCTTGAGTCCATTTCAAATCATTTCATTTATGTAATGGTTAGTTACAAAATTTGTTACATCACTTGCATTTATAGTTGCAAATTGTTTCCTGTAATAGCAGGTTATTCTAATAGGAGCTTACAGCTGTCCCTCACACATGTAGAGCTGACATAACTAACTTTGAGAGTTAGTTATGCAGGCTCTGGATTGCAACAATAACATACTGCTTATCGTAACTAACTTGAGAGTTAGTTATGCAAGCCTTTGAGAATATACTCAAATAGTTAATTTATTAGTTATTGAGTTTAAATTCATGCATAACATAATAACATAATGCTACTTTAATGATAGCGTGCATTTCATTTTCAATGGGAGCTTTGCTTAAGTTATCTTGGATTCATAGAAAGAAATCTTAATAACATGCTTTTGACCAAACATTCTCGAATGATAATCAATTAAATTACGACTAATTGACTCTTTATGGCTTCTATCTGTAGGTACATGGCTCCAGAATATGCAACAAGTGGAAAATTAACAGATAAATCAGATGTTTTCTCATTTGGGGTTGTCCTCCTTGAGCTTGTAACAGGAAGAAAATCGATTGATGAAACCCAGCCTTTAGGAGATGAGAGTTTGGTTGAGTGGGTAAGATCATACGCCCTCCTTCATTTGTTTTCTACTAAAGTTGTACATGAGCAGTTATATGATAAGTATTTATATGATAAGTTTTATATAAGCACTTATATCACACTAGTATTCTGTCTTTCATGTGAGATTGTTCTGTGTCCACAGGCTCGTCCACTACTTATCCACGCCTTTATGACACGCGAGTTTGGTGAACTAGTAGATCCAAGACTAGAAAATAACTATGTAGAGAGTGAAATGTTCGGAATGATAGAGGCAGCTGCAGCTTGTGTTCGCCACTCAGCTCCTAAACGGCCTCGTATGTCTCAGGTGGTAAGAGCTTTAGACAGTGGAGACGACATATCTGATTTATCAAACGGAGTAAAATACGGTCAGAGCACTGTCTATGATTCTGGCCAGTACGACAAAGAGATCATGCTATTCAGGAGAATGGGCAACGAAAGCTACGGTGATTCTGATATAGATAAATACAGTGGAGAATCCAATCCTTCAAAAGAGAATTTGAGATCACAGCATTCATGGATGCACAGTACTTCGAGTACCGAGTCAGAGTCAAGAGCTTTCAATAAGCATCAAGGCAGGCATGAATGATCACAAAAAGGCACAATGGAATTAGAGTATTGATCAATTTCAAAGAATTCTCCTATTAGGGGGACTTGAAGTTGCTGGATCATCACACAGCATGATTTTGGTTTTACAGGGAGTAAGACTTTAATCTATAAAAAAGCATTACTTGAAACTCTTTTCTCCCTCCAATTTTTGGCAGCTTGTATTAAGATTAGTTTGTTGAGGTTACTTCTTAACCATTGTTGGTAGATATCTCTTACAGATGTTAATTCAGAAGATTTGAATTTCTTACTAGTACTACTACACATTAGGAATGATATATATAGTGATAATCAAAATATAAGTATTATGTTTGGTTGTGTGCTAGTTTGTATATTCTCGCGGTAGTTTGTATATTCGGCTTCTAATACAAGATACAAATAGAATTCAGTTTCCCCTCTATTTGTGGCTTTATATTAGATTTTGAAGAACTTTGATTAAGCTTAGGGAGAGATAGATTTCTTGTTCCTTCTGCTTGTTCTTTTTCTTTTAGGCTATGTTTGAGAGTTTGGAGGGGAAGAGGAGGGAAAACTTTGGAAAATAAGAAGGATTGGAGTAAAAGAATAGAAAGATTTTGGTTTGGAGGATTTTAGAGGGTTTGATTTCCTTCATAACACTAAAAACCCTCTAATTTGGAAGAACTCGATATTGAATGAGGATTTTGGAGGGCAGACAAAGTGTTCAAATATAATGTTTTTTGTTATAGTAATTCAAAAAGTAAAAATACATTAATGATTAATATTATTTTATCATTCTAAACAAAAAATTGTTTAAAGAAATATTAAAAATTTCTCAATATATTTATAAAAAATTATTTTTCGAACTCCTCCCTTTCCCTCCCTCCTCCAAACTCTCAAACATAACCTTAGTATTTACGATTGTAATTTGTTCTTCTTACGATCCTCAACTTCTAAAGTCTCATTCATGACGGTTCTTAAAATTCCATCTCTTGCCTTTGTAGTTCCTTTAAATGTTCAATGTTAGTGTACGAAGGTTGCACCATTTGGAAGAAAATCGCGTTCCGATTAAAGAGATATTAACATCTCATCCCTAAAATTAAACATGTCATTTTCAATTTTTTTTTATTCCAATTTTGTTCGTAGTGAGATATAAAGATATTTTCAGATGAAATTTTCGAGTTGAGATTTCTGATATATATGAAATTTTCGATACATTCCTATCAAATTTCTGAGAAGAGTAAATTTCTGGTAGTGTATTTGAAATTTCTGGTAAACCGAAAATTTCAAATTTATCCGACAATTTGAACTTTCAAAATTGAACTACCGTAAATTTCAAAAATTTTGGTATCTTGTAAAGTCCCAGAAATTTTAAAATTTCCGGTACAAAAGGAAAATGTTTACACCAGAAATTTAAAAAATTCCAATACGAAAATACCGGAAATTTTGAAAATTTCGGTACAAAATACCGGATATTTCACAAATATACCAGAAATTCCTTACTGTCTCACTAAATTTTCGGTGTCGCCTTAAAATTCTCGATATCGCCATTTGGGGGGGTTGGTCACGAAAATTTTGAAAATTTGAAAAATATTTGGGTTTGGGTAATTTGGTCTTTTCATACCATTTATGGGATGTCATGTATAAGAGGAGGATGACATGTTAATTCTTCCCGATTAGAGCAATAATATTTTTATAACTTCTATCAGGTGATTGGCCTTAATCGTACGTTAAAACTTCTTACTAAAGTCACCTCACTACACCTCGCCAAAGGTCATAGTTGCATTGTCTACTATGGAAAGAGGACCCAACCTGAAGAGCATTTAAATAACCAAGACTCGACTCCACCGACTATGGCTTGGGGTGATACTGTCCGGGTATGTGTTAAGGCCTAACCTATTCAATGTTAGAATATTAGATACAAGGAGTTGAAATATTTATATTTAGGCATTGTTAGATAGAGCATTAAATAAGCTTTCCAACGCTTCGAATCGGGCGCAAATCAAAGTTACGGTTCAAAAGTTATGACCGAAACAATGCAAGATGTTGTGCTGGTTTTTCAACTTTCTGTTAACCGTTGTCAGGCGATGCTTTTGGTCGTCGGGAGACACTAGGAGAGTTGTAGCATGGGAAAAACATTGTTTTGGTCACTGGGAGACGCTTTTTGGTCGTTGGATGATGCTGGACAGTCAGAAATGCGTATTTAGGTGTAAAAACACATTTTTTGGGTATGGTTTTGGATATTTTTGATCCCAACTCCATCAACCTTCATTTTTGGATAGGATTAACTTAGAAAACAAAATTGAAGCTTGCATACGGATGATCTGGGGTGGATTATTCATCAATCGGCGCTGACAAACCGGGACATTTGTGGTTCATTTCTCTTCCTCTTTGTGTATTCTTTATGTGTTGAGTTTGTACATGTATTTACTCTGAACTTATGTATATTTGTCGCCCATGGAGTTATATTAAACTTGCTATACAAATCTTTGTCGATTGCTATCCTGGATTTTTGCTTCGTGCTAGGGATTTGAGTTGTTATAGACATATACTGCTTAGATTCTTATCTAGGATGATTATCTGTTAGTTTCTGAACTCCAGAGATATATTTAGAGCTGACATCTACTTGGGTATCAGAGCTTAATGCCTCTATGGTTATGCTGTTGAGAGATCGTCAGTGCGATTACATAGTTGTCTTCTGTATTGTTGAGGATGTAGAGAGATCATTTCTTTGGTGATACAGCCAGTCTCTCAATTTGGGTTAGAAATAACTTAGGTTGTGAGTGATATGTAGTGACATTGATAAGTATTATTAAGTTGAATGTAACTGGTCGGTAGATTTAAGTCTGTGATGAGTAGATTATATGCAGGCTTGATAAGTTCTTCCTTAGTTTTTTCTTTTATTTACATTTATTTTCTGTTGAGAATATTTTCTTTACAAACCAATTTAAACCAAATTCATAAACGGAAGAATTTGTCGAACGACAATTCAATAACCAATCTCTGTGGACACGATAAATTCCCAGATAAATATTTCCAAAACTTTTGTTGCTTGCCGCTATATAACGCTTCAACAGCCGCCGCACTGGTATTTCCTTCCAGGGTTTGGTCCCTTCTAGAAATTCTAGGATCTACCATTTTTCTTCCACTTCTCAATTTAATACACAGATTGAGACGAACTTAACATAAAACGTGTCCCACTGGAAATGGCAATTTGTTCTCAGGAGTTTCTCGCGGACAATCTTTATCCTCTTAATTAAAGGTTACTTGCAGGACCAGCTACAAGATTTTTAGACTATGTGTTAAGTTTGACAGGATTTTGGGTGCTTAACAAGATCAAGGCGCAAATGAGAAAAACAAAGACAAGTAAATGGTAGATAAATTGATAAACTGTAAAAGATAAACAAGAATTTGTAAAGATAAAAGTGCTTTGAATTTAAAAGTGGACGCAATTGTACATTTTTCAAAACTGACTCGTTTCTCTATGTGCTGGTACTTTGAGTGCTCTCTTACAATGTTAAAAAATGCGACATTTAAAATGAATGCGAACATTTTCTTAAATAGATAAAAAAATGTAACCCTCGATGGTTACTTGAACCACTCATATTTCTGGTTCGTGCGACACTACTTTTAAAACTTCCACGTTTAGCTTCAATACTCTTTGTTGATAACTTCTTTTACCTCCCTCTACTTTTTCTCTCGACTTGCCTAATTGTCATCGACTTTGCCTCGCGCTTGATACTATCTTGTCGACCGCTTTCCATGAGTAATCCATGGAATCCTGTCGACATACCCATAACTCTTGTTGATGCTCTTTATTGACAAAGATTATCACCCAAGTGGCCTAATACTTGATTATAAAATTTGCTTGTTAACACACTATAAATTATCGAAGAAGTAAAAGAAGAAAAAGTAAAGATGACTGTCCCCCCATGACAAACATTGAGGGACTATTGAAAAATTATTGATTCAGGGTAGATATCTTTAGGATTTCAGCGGACTAATCCAGTAACCTTTAACGTTAAGAATTTTATACTTTCAGGTATGAAGGAAAACTTGTTTGACAAGAAATCAATTAGAGATCCTTGGGAGCATCTCACTAAATCCTACTAGACATGCTCGATGTGAAAGCCAACTGAGGACATGATCAACGATCAATTAAAATTATGTTTGTTTGATTTTACTTTAATAGGTCGTGCAAAGGATTGGCTGCAATGCATTCCAAAAGGTACTATTAAGACCTGGAAGGAGTTGGAGGACAAGTTCTTAGAGAGGTATTACTCAAATCAATTTGTGGAGAGAAAAACAACAATTTTGAACTTTGCCTAAGAAGAGTCTGACTCGTTATATGATGCGTGGGAAAGATTCAAGTTACTACTCCAAAAGTTTTGAATCAAAATATGAGTGCTATAGAATATATGTCACACCTCATCGACGGGTTGAGAACATAAACGAGAATGCTTCTTGACACCTCAACTAGAGGTACATTGAGGGAAAATGATGATCATGAGTTAAAAACATTGATTGAGAATGTTTCAGAATGAGTATCAGTTAAATGAACGAGGGATGAAGAAAATAGGCATTCATGCAGTTGATTCGACCATAACCTTATCTGCTTATATAAAAGCTGTTTCTAAGCAGTTAGCTGCAACATAACTATCACAAGCAAATTTTATCCAAATTCAAACGCTTCATTATGTTTTTGTGTGGAGGAGAACATGCAAATGGTTACTTTACAATAGAGGTTGAGAGTGCTGAAGTTCAGTATCCTAATTTTCAAAAGAATAATCCATATTCTAACACCTATAATTCAGGTTGGAAAGATCATCTGAACTTTAAGTCAAGTAAAAATCAGACTTTAAATGCTAATAAAGGAGTTCAACAAGATCATTAAACACCTCAACGCAAACCATCACCTTTAGAGAAGGCATTCACTAACTTCATAAAGTCAACTCAAGCAAGCTTTAAGCAGGTTAGCGGATCTTAGGACAACATGGAGATGGCACAAAAATTTGGGAGCTCAAATTA